ACGTGTCCTCTTCACCCACACTCTCCCTTGTACCCACACAGCGCCCTTCACCTCCAAAGAACCACCTTCGCCCTTCACCCCTCTGCGCCCTCTGCAGCCCGGCTATGGCCGCCAAGCGCCCAGTGCACAGGCAGCACCCTACCGCCTAGCGCATGCCTGCCTTGTACTACCTCTTAGCGCAGCGCAGCAGCCACCAGCTCGCATTTGCGCAGCGTGCCGGCATTGCCCGCAATGGCCAAGATCCCTGCCCACTCGCCCTGCGTGCCTATATGCCAGTGCAGCGTGTGGGCGGCCTCCCTTCAACCTGTGACCGGGGCCCAGAGGCTGAAGCCAGCCCGATACAGTTGGGCCCCGGGGCAATGCAGTTGCGCCTCCTTCATCAAGGCCTGCAAAGATTCAGATAGTGGGCCGATTTCCCTTTGGCATTTTCGGCCTCTATACCCAGCATGCATTGTCGGCCTCACGTTCGAGTGCCCAGGGCCTAAATAACTCAGAGGCCCTGGGCTTTCAGCATTTGCTGAAATCCGAGACTCGGTGCACTCCAACCAACTGGCGTGCTGCAACTGTATGGACCCCCATTCGTGAAATGTTGGCACAGAGGGCTCTTGTTGATTTGCTGGCCCGCCTTCACTTAGGGCGGGCACGAGGCTTGCTGGGGCCTTAGCCCAGAACATGTACATCATGGCAAGGCCCCTTCTTGAGGGCTCAATCCTCACATTCCATCCCCCTTAGCTTCGAAAGTCCGCTGAGATGCTTACTTCGCAGGTGCCTTCCCTTTCAGCTTCCTTTCAAATTCTTCCACCACCTGAGGAGCTGTCTCAATCAGTTCCTCCCTGGTGAACCACCGATCTTCTTTGGGATCCGTGTGATGCCTGAATCTGACGTGATATTCTCTCTTGGGTTTAGGAGGTCTTCCTCGACCCAGCGGCTTTGCAACAGGCATGTCCCTGTGATCCACAATGTCGTCGATGTCGACTTGTCCATCCATGGTTGGGGGCAGCATTGATCTCTTGGAAGGGAATTGATCAGTCTCAGCGAAAGGTGCAAGCTTTGAGGCATGAAAGACTGGGTGAGTGCGTAGGTGTCCAGGGACACGAATGACATATGTGGGACCATCCAACTCGTCTCCCACTACATCCAAAACTTCCCAGGGACCAAAGTATTGAGGCATTAGTTTGCGAGATATTCCCAACTCCTGTCCTAACTCACTAGCCTTGACCCATACACATTCCCCTACCTGAAATGTGGACTGTCTGCGATGTTGATTCTCAGAAGCAATCATGGCTTGCTGAGCCTTCTTCATATGTTCAACAGCCTCTTGCAGCAATTTCTCATATTGCACACCGTATTCAAGTCTTGCAGCAATTTCTCATATTGCACACCGTATTCAAGTGTGCCTGGAGTTGCAGCCGGTCGGTTTTCAGGTAGGAGGAAGTTTAGTGCTGATCTAGGCTTCCATCCAAAGTGAAGCTGGTTAGGACTAACGCCGGTACTGCTATGTATAGCATTGTTGTACAGGCTGGCGATGAGAGGTAAATGCTCATCCCAGTCATCCTGGCTGGGCTTGATGTAATGCCTCAGCAAGTGCTGTACAACTCTATTCATTTGTTCGGCCTGTCCGTTGGCTTCGAGATGATTCCCTGAAGTCATCTGAAGTTGACTGCCCATCTGTCCCGCAGTCTTCTTCCACAGCTCACTTGTGAATCGGACGTCTCGGTCACTAATGATGGTCTTTGGTAAACCAAAGTCCCTTACCCAGTTGTCCTTGAACAACTTGATGACGTATTCTGTCCTGGTTGTCTCTGGCATTGGTACTAGTCTAGCGTACTTGGTGAATCGGTCAATGATGATGAAAATGTGCCTTTTACCACTCTTGCTGGTCACTAGGGTGTCCATGAAATCCATGGAAACACTCAATCCTGGACCATCAAGAATAGGTAAGGGCTTCAACAACCCAAGCGGGGCTTGAGTTCGCAGCTTGTCCCGCGTACAGACCTGACAGGTCTCAAGATACTTCTTTGCGTCATCTAACATTCTGGGCCACCAAAATCGTTGTACTAAGTTAGCACTCGTCTTCTTGTAGCCAAAGTGCCCAGTTGCGTCATGACATTCGCCTAAAAATAAACTACGCAAGTGTTCACTACATGGAACTAACAATCTCTTTACTCCGGCCTTATCAAGATGGATTAGCCCGTCCACCATCACAAACTCACTTTTTGTGGCCTTGTCTTTTGCCTGAAGTTTGCGGATGATGTCCATCGTGACAGGGTCTTCCTGATAGGCTCCCACCAATGATTGAGTTACTTCATTAGATACGCCAAAGTCAGAAACTAGCGCACCTAGGTAGTCTGCTCTACGGGATAGCGCGTCTGCAACCTTGTTGTACTCTCCCTTCAGGTACTCAAGCTTGAAGTCATATTGATCTATGACCTCAATCCATCGCTTGAGTGCATCAGAAAGAGCCGGTTGAGTCTTGATCCATTTGAGGGTCTGATGATCAGTCCTCAAGTAGAAGAACCTTCCCAAAAGGAAGTGTCTCCAATGGACAAGTGCCTTGTAGAGAGCATAGAGTTCCCTTTCGTAGGTGGACTTAGCCAACTTCTTTGATGGCATTTTCTTACTCATATACTCCTGTCTCTTATACACATCTAGATGTGTATAAGAGACAGAGCCAGCACTGCGCCAATGCCGTATTGGCTTGCGTCAGTGGTCACTATGAATGGCTTCTGAGGATCGGGAACCATGAGGACCTCATGATTCATGAGTGCATGCTTCAATCTCTTGAAAGCACCCTCGCACTCATCACTCCAGTCCCACRGTGTGTCAAGTCGAGTTAGATCAGTCAAAGGAGAGGCGACTGTAGAATAGTTCTTTACGAAGTTCCTATAGTAGCCGCACATTCCTAAGAATGATCTGACCTCGGTGATTGTCTGAGGTCGTGGCCAATCTCGAATACTAGCCACCTTCGCATCTTCCGGCCTAATCCCCTCCGCGGATACTTCATGACCCAAGTATAGTATCTTAGTGCGGCCAAACTCGCACTTCTCTAAGTTGACCTTATACTTGTGTTGTCACAGGAGTGAGAGTACCTTCTCAACATGTTGTGCGTGCTCCTCGGCAGACTTACTAAAGATAAGAATGTCGTCTAAGTAGACCACGACAAACTTATCTAAATGGTCATGGAAGATCCGATTCATAGCGTGTTGGAATGTACCCGGTGCATTACGAAGACCGAAAAGCATCACAACAAACACATACAGACCATATCTAATCTGAAAAGTTGTCTCGTGTTGGTCCTCGGGTCTTATTGCGATCTGATGATATCCGGATTTCAAGTCTATCTTGCTATAGTACTTGCATCCCTGCACCCTATCCAATAGGTCGTCTATGTGAGGTAGAGGCTCTGCGTTCTTCACAGTGATGGCATTGAGGCCTCTATAGTCAATGCACATCCTCAAAGTACCCCCCTTCTTCGGTATGAATAGAACGGGTGATCCGTAAGGGAAGTACTAAGCCGAATCCAACCCTTCTCTGTCAGCTCCTTAAGTTGTCGTCGAAGTTCATCTAACTCGGCGGGGGGCATCCTATAGATCCTTCCCTTTGGGGTCTTACTCCCTGGAATGATTTCTATAGCATGGACGACTTCCCTTTCCACAACTCCTGTGGGCTCCTCGAACAGATCCGGGAACTTAGCAACGACACGTTCTATCTCTGGGGGTGTTTTAACGGCCTCCCCCTTCTCTGAGACGTAAACAAGGTACATACCCTCCTCTTGGTTCCGCTTATAGTAGTTGTAGAACGCTGCTGCGCACAAGCAGCCATAGGTATCTTTAATACTACTGGCCTTGAACTTAGTGAATCTGACAGTTCGGCCATCGGGCAACTTATGCTTGAGCACCTTCTTATCCCAGTTGAACTGGGGCTTAGCAACTTCGAGGTAGTACATGCCTAACAACATTTCGAATGGCAAGTCGTCGCTAACCAAGAACGAGATCTTATGGTTAAGCTCACCTCCTCCATAGGAGAAGGTACAGACTACGTCCTTGATGTAGTCTGTTACAATCATGTGCTCCTTGTTGGCCAAAGTAGATGCTACTGGTCTACTAAGGTGTCGTACCCGGTCCTGTAGGGGCAGCCTTTCCAAACAGTCGCGACTGATGTAATTTCGCATGGAGCCTATGTCTATGAAGGCACCACATTTGCGGCCTCCTACATCGACCTCCACCACGAAATGTTCCCCTCTCGGACCTTTCCTTAGCGCCACCCAAGACTGACGAGGGTCCTTGTTTGACCACTCGCTCTCCAAGTCCTCTAAGGCTTCAGACACATCTAACGTACAGAGCATAGTTTGGTCTAGTTGTGTCTGCGGGGTGACTAAGGGGTCATTAGCCTTGGCCTTGTTATGAAGTGGGGAGGGCCTCACATGTTTCTCGAGCTAGAACCCTGGGAATAAGTTGCCCTCATCTTTGGAGCAACCTTTTGCGTAACCTTATCGTTCTGGCACTTGTACTGCGTGTGTCCGTATTCCCCGCAGTTGATACAAGCACCACGCGTTCGGCGGTCACACCACACGTCTTGTTCAAGACCAACCTTTACCCACTCAGCCTGCTTGGTCTGATTGGAGGCGGCTTTGCCTTGACCCCTAGGCTGGCCCTTCCCTCGGCCTGCCGCCTTAGTTTTTACTACCGCGGCGAGGGTGCTACCCTCAGCTACCTCCTCGCCGTCATACTCAGAGTAGTCCATCAGGTCACAGAGTTCATCGATCTCAGTTTGAGTCCCATCAGACTCAACCATCATCAACTTCGCCCCCTTCTTCTTCCACTCCTGAGAACTCTTCTTCTTCTTTGAGTCATTCCCTGAGATGGGTTGAGCATTGCCTAGCGTGGCCTCTAGTCTAAGGCTTTCCTAGACAGTGTCTCAAACGAGTGGTACTCAGTACGTGCCTCGCTGGCTAGCAAGTTCCTAATGTTCTCTGGGAGACATCTGACAAAAGTAGTCAATAGGAACTGATCGCTGTAGTTGATGCCTGGGACGAGGATCAAGCTTTCAACGGTAGTCGTAAGCTCTCCAACTGACCTGAACTTGCATTGGTCTAGTTCGTTAATGGCATCAGTGGCCTTTTGAGCCTCCTGTGGGTTATGCCATCGAGCATCTACCATTTCCATGAACTGGTCTAACGTTAAAGACTTAGCCCAGTCCGCCATGCGTCTCCCATACCCGGCCTTTATAACTACTCCATCTAACCACTTGGCTGCCTTACCCTCCAGGTAAGATGCCGCAGTTACCACTTCGTCCTCTAGCAAGGTTCTCTTGGCCTTCACCCACCCAAACTGGGACTGTTCTCAACCAAGTGTTGAGTTCTTCGCCCTTTCCCTCGCCTGAGAAGGCAAGAGGTGGCTTCATTGGGGTCTTAGGGTACCATTGACCTTGCGATTGTCCTTGTTGAGGACTAGCCTGTTGCGGTGGTGTAGCAACCACCGCTGGACCCGAAGAAGAAGATGCAACAGTCTGTGCGGCTGCTGCAGATGTGCCACTTGGCTGTGTGCCAGTTTGAACCGGAAAGGGGCCTGACATCACCGATAACGGCAACGGCGATTGTGCTGGGGGCCGGAATCCTGGCCTTGTGAAAGCATCCAGGATCTGGTCTAGAGTGCTCTGCATGAAGTCTAATTTGTTGTCCATGTGTGCGTGCAATGACAGCATATTCTTCTTCAATACTTTCAGCGGGTCAGTCAATGCTGACTCATCCAAGCCCTCTAATTCAGCCTTGTCAGCCTCTAAAGTTTCAAGCCTGGCTGCTCTAGTTTTCATCGCATTTTCTCTATCGGTAGCATCTTTCAGGTCCTGCTCTAACTTACGGCGGAGCCTCTCGACCTGCTGGATCTCTCTGAGCTCCCTCTCACGCGGGGTCAACGGGCTGAACTGCGCGCCCGCCATTTGACTAGAAGACTGTCTAGAACCTGTGGAACAGGAAGTGCCCGAGGAACTTGTGGAACTCATTGGCATTCCCAACTGGCCCCCATTATTCCCTGACGAGGATGCAGAGGATGACGCAGCAGAGCTTGCGCCATTAACCATCGCTGCTGCTTTGGCTGTTGTTGCCTTCTCTCTAGCTGCTGCGTTTGCTGCTGCTATCCCCGCTGCTAGAGCACGGGCTCTACGTAACCGTCTCTCTTCTCCCGGCTCCAAGGCCTGGAACACGTGTGGTACCCTCAGTGCCTGTGCACGTGTTAGTCTCCTACCGTCAGCTCTATCATCAACAGGGTCTGACCCACTCATTAGTTAGGCAGATAGTATCTGCACTAGAATCCCCTAGCGGAATCCTACCGCAGCATGTATCTGACCGGCAAGTAGTTTTCTATAAATAGTTGTGTCCGGCGAGTTCCCTACTATACCGAATCAAGTGGCATGTCTACAACATTCACACAGATTGTCTACATAGTCTAGATGCACCCTGATTGGTTCACTTACAGCAGCATCAGTTAGAACTGGCTATGGCAGCATCCAACAGTCCTACACTAATCTGTTTGTGAGGTTAGCAGTCCGTCAACCAACTAATCAAAGGTACAAAAAGACAATGTAGCAGATGTATGATTGATGGGTATAGTTGTGTACACAGTTGAGCTCTAATTGGAACCTACACTCCCCTCAATCCAACATACCTAACAGCATCTTTGAGCGAGCAGTGTCTTCGTGTGTATTCCGGCCCACCCCTGTGCCCAAGAGCAAGCCAGCCCAACCACTCTTATTTACCCTCGTACGGCGACGAGCCTTCCTGTCCATGTGATCTGGCTGATCAGGAGGAATTTATAGAGCGCCCCCATCTCTTCAGGAATTCTTTAACGTCGCAGTCAGGACGACAATCAAAACCAGATTCACAATGAACTCCCAACCAGAAATGTTTATAGACGGTCTGGTAAGCGTCTGTCATGGGCTGGCACACCCGGAGGGACTTCTATTTGGCGCAGCAAAGTGCCTTTAATGGACAGCAGCCATCGCATGCGTGACCTACTCCCATTGGGTTGGCATGGTGACCGTGACCCAGTGCTTCGACCAGGGCCCTTCAGAGGCACCGCCCTTTCTCCTTCCAGATGCTTCCGGGAAGATTGTCGTCTCTCAAGGTAGCGCG